AGCTTCATGTTCCGTGCGAAACCCAATGAAAGCAAATTGTCGGCTCTTCCCATCCCTTGAAAAAAAAAAATTAAGAAGAAAATAGCAACTGTAACCAAAATTTATGAAGTAAAATCCTTATGATATCCTGTAAGAATCAAAATGACACAACCAAAGGCAGAGACATTAAAACGAATCAAGAATGGGATATGAAAAATACTTGGTCCGCATAAGCTTAACATCTGTAATCTCTCCTTTTTCAGAGAACAAAGTACGAAGGCGATTGTCATCTATGAACTTGGGCAAATTCTTCACACATATCCTAGACCTGTTATGCAGAAAATTCTTAATCAAATTTCTTTTAGAAAATAACATACTTTTCCATTTTCCGGGGGGACATATGAAACTTAGCAAGCAAGGAAAAGAGTGAGCTCACGTGGAATCAACCATTGTAACTTTGAGGCAATCGGATCAATGAGGATTCTGAATACCCACGTGAAACTTACAGGATCTAGATGCAACCTGGATGAAATCATAAACAAAAGGCGTAAGTTGCTCAATGCCACTCATTAAGCTAGAAGGTAAAGAAACACACAGATCAGAACATAACCCAGACGTAATATCCTTGCTGTTAACAAGAAGATATTAGACATCAAAAGGCGTAACACAAATATTTCATCCAAAAGGTTTAAGGTATGTCTAATCTACCCTGAACAGTATCTAAGGCTTCTTAAATCAAGTAAATGAAATTCAAAGCATATATATACGGCTCTTATTTCTGGTTAATTTAAAGAATCAATGGTTATTCTATTGGTCAATCCAAGAGAGTTTCAAATTTATCAAAAGAAACACACACATTGTCTTCTCTCCAACTGCAGTCTACAAATATAAATATGGTTGATATTGGTCAATTAAAATAACTCCTACAACCTAGAAATTAAAAAGCGAATCAGATAGTGCGATAGACTACTTCGAATGATCCTCTGAAAAATAAAGTAGAAGGGAGATGCTGTAAAATTCATGATCGCGGAGAAAAGGCAACTTCCAGCTGAGCACAGCGATCAAAGCCTCAATTGCAGCAAATCAAAACGGCGGTACACCCACGCCCCCATAACCAAAAGGATTTTTTCTTCGTTGCCAGTCGTCTTTTCTTATTGACGATATATAAATTAAACAACTCCTCCATTCTTTCATTAGACCAGTCTTAATTTGTGTTTTCCAAGTGAGAAGAAAGACATATGCAGATCGGGGGAATACCAGTAACAACAACAGTGTAGAAATCGGCGCAGGACCGCTTGGAGGAGGCGGCGGCGGCGGCAGTGGCGACACCAAGTGATGAGGAGACGACGTGAAGAAGAAGAAGAAGAAGAAGAAGAAGAAGAAAGTGGCGCGAAGCATGGGATAGTGAGAGGAAGATTAAAAAGTTAGGTTTTTTTATTTTATTTTATTTTACAATGAAGGCCAAGTTTTTTTTTTTTTTTTTTTTTTTTTTTTTAAAAA